GCCAGGGGAGGGGAGGGGAGGGGCGGGAGCGCGCCGGGAGGCTGCAGTTCACGGTGTAATTAGGCCTGAAGGGGGAACCCCGGGCTAAAGGAGATGCGTTCTGGCGCCCATTGGATGCCTCCAGCTCTTTCTCGGCCTCCTCGGCCGCTCCTCGTTTCTCTGCTCCATTTTTGAAGCCCTGAAGCCCCGAGGCTGTAGATCCTTCATTATTTAGGAAAGGACCTTTTGACACCAGAAGAACCGTCCAGCAATGGGCTCCACTCTCCTAGGCGGTGCGGGAGAAAAGCCGCTCGCTCGCCGGGGCGCCGTGTGGCGGCGGGGACGGAGCGGGGCTCGTGCGGGAGCGGTGGTGGCTCCGCCGCCAGGTGTCTCTGCAGCCCGTCCGTCCGTCCTTCCGCCGAGTCCGCGAGCGCCCGGGGCCCAGCCGGCCTGCTGTGGGCTCCGCGCTTCCCTCGCGTAGTAAATGAAGGGGAAGCCACGGAGTGTGCGTGTAGCGTGTTGTGTGTGTATAGGGCTTGTGTGCAGTGTGTGTGCGCGTGCACAATACACGTGCGGTGTGTGTGCACGCCCCTGCCTGAGCTGCCTCGGCCTCCCTGGGCGTCCCCTGCCCTGATTCGCCTGGAAAGTGGGAGAGGAGCTGGCGGCTCCCAGGACAGGAGATGACATTCTGCAGCGACAGGGAATCCTGCTGATCGCTGGGTCATTCCCTGAGGTGGCTCCTTGGCGCCCTCACATTCTAGGGGCAGGTGAGGGATGCGGCCGGGTCCCAGGCTCCCTGGCGGTCCCGGCCATCCAGCAAAGGGCGAGGGCTGAACGCCGAGAACGAGGAGAACGAGAACGAACGGTGATTTGCCTTCCTTTTGTGTCAGTCCGGTTTGGACGCTTGAAAACATTTCGGTGGAGGATGCACGGGCGAGCTCATTAGGCAGATTAAAAATATATCTGGGGGAAAAAAAAACTGATGGGGAATGCGGTTGTGGCCTAATCTGTCAAGTAAGAGGTGAGGGAGAGACCCCACCGACATAACAAAGAAGATAGTTCAGGCAGAGAACCCCCGCCGGGTGCGGTTGGCTGAATTGGGCATCTGCCCCAGTCGGGCTGGTCTGTCCCGGGTCCAAAGATTTAAGCGGTCGCGGTCCTTCTGTGTGCATCTTGGTGTGACTGCCGCGTGATGTGGCACAAAAAGTCTCCCCGGGGCACCACCGTCGGCTGTCTTCTTGCCCTGCTAGGGCGTCAGTGTGGTGCACCCTGTGACATCATGGGTGACCCCACAGACACCCAGTTTTTTAAGAACAAGGTGACCGTTTACAGGAGGCATTTGCTCATGCATGTCTGTGCTTTTCGCCGAGCCGTCTGGCAGTGGTCTTCGAGTTGGGAGGCTGAGATACAAAAGTAAGAATCATTCAGGGGGTGAGTGGGTATCTGAAGAAAACAAGAAGGACATTTAATACAGAACAACCAGCAGCAACATGTGACTCAAAGTGATTCGCGCAAATCCTCATCGACGCATCATTATTGTCAGCAGCAACAACACTGTGTCCTTTATTAGGGGGTGGAAGCTGGGATACACCGAATCGTAAAGTGCAGTCCTGATCTTATGCCAGAAAAGATACAGCCTTACAGAATTTTCATACATTTTCTCCTCCTCCCCTGAAGGTCACACATACACATACTGTTTTGTTTAAAAAAAAAAAAAATAGTTGAGGACGGATGTTATGAAAACAAGAGGCAGAACCTTGATGCGGGTGAGGACGGTGTTTCCAAGTCCTGTTAGTGGAACCTGATGCAGCGTGATGCTTTTTCAACAGCTTACAGGCGACGGCGAAGAAAGGATAGAGATGCCCCCGGAGGGTCTGTGGTACCACCAGCAGAAGGATGGCTCCTTAGAAGCCTCCGGTGAAAGGCTGTACTCTCTGAAGATTGAAAACACTACCAGTGTCGACTCAGGGACATACAGGTGCATCCTGGAGGAGCCAGAAGGGCGGAGAAACCAAAGCGGCACTGTGACCTTGAAAGTGACAGGTGAGGTGATCTGCTGCACCTGTTTCCTTCTTGCAAGATGCGTGTGCACTTGCATAGGCTCTAAACTCCATCCTCTCGATTGGAGTCCAACTGGAAGCTTAGGATCGTGTGGCTAAAAGCTAAATTCTCCTATAAGAATGTCATAACTTTTTCTGCTTCCTTCTTTTCCTTTTCCTTCCTTCCTTCCTTCCTTCCTTCCTTCCTTCCTCCCTTCCTTCCTTCCTCCCCCTTCCTTCCTTCCTTCCTTCCTTCCTTCCTTCCTTCCTTCCTTCCTTCCCAATAAAGACAGATCCACCCTAGTTGTGTAGATGCCAAATGTAGCCAAACCACCAATCTGGGTGTTGTTTATTCATACAAGAGTCCTTTGAAGCAAATAGGAAGTATCCAAGGGGTGCCTGGGTGGCTCAGTCGGTTGAGCGTCTGACTTCGGCTCAGGTTATCATCTCATGGTTCGTGGGTTTGAGCCCCGCGTGGGGCTCTGTGCTGACAGCTTGGGGCCTGGAGCCTGCTTCGGATTCTGCGTCTCCCTCTTTGTCTGCTCTTCCCCTGTGCACATTCGTCTCTTTATCAAAAATAAATAAAGATTTAAAAAAAATCACACACAGCCAGGCTCAGGTGCGAGTGAGCACCGGCCACCGCCGTCACCGCTGTCACTAGCATTCTTCTTCCCGAATGCACAGACGTGTGCGGTTAGGCATGGGAGACAAGAAGGACTTGGGGAAAAAAAAAGAAAAGCCAGAGCAAAGCATTCTTAGCTTTTTATCACAGTAGGAAAGTTCTGTTAAACAGCTTCATATTTTTACTCTCTCTCTCTCTTTTTTTTAAGGATGCCCTAAGGAACGCAAAGAAGACACTTTTCAGAAATACAGAGCCGAGATTGTACTGCTGTTGGCTCTGGTCGTTTTCTACTTAACACTCATTATTTTCACTTGTGTAAGTATCTTCGTAAAAAAACATGTATTATGATTAAAAGATCGCCCAGGGGCGCCAATCCGAATATATTTGGTAGATAGCGTGAATCCGTAATGCTGGCGAGAGATGTTCTTCTGTGAACCGGGCACCTGCTGAGGCGTCCGCGCTGTGAGGATCGGTGCGGGAAACGCCCGGCTTGTTTTGAATCCGGTTGCCCTGCACAGAGAGCTGCCGAGAGAAGACGAAGTAGGGTGTGTGAAGGAAGTTCGAGACCTGCCACAGGATCCTTCCGGGGCGCCAGAGGCCCTGGTGGTGACAGTGGTGGCAAGTGTGGCTCTGACTTGCCATCATCCTGGGGCAAAGGCACGACTCTGCCTGTAGGCGAGTGACACAGCCCCACCACACGGTGGTGGATCAGTCTCCTTCTCTTGACCTTGAACCCTTTCCTCCTGGGGGGTCTCCTCTAAGAGTTTTGGCGCTTGCCCCCACTCCCTGGGAATTAGCCCTGAGAAGCCAGAGGAGTGGGGTATACAGGCAGCGTCGTAGGGTGGAAGATGGCCGGCCGGTGCTGAAGTGGCCTTGACCGTAGCCCTTGAACTGTTGGTAGCAGGCTCCAGCTTACAGACCCTGAGCCTCTTTGTGCATGGCTGCTTACCTGGGTAGACCAAAGTTATAGGGAGCGAGGCCAGCTTTGGGCCTGACCCCCTAGGAAGTGATCTGTCTCATATGTCTCAATACTATCAGGAAGGACTGGCTACTTAGGGGCCAGGACAGATCTCACCCAAGAGCTATCCCGGGGCCTTGTCACTCACTGGCCGCCTGTATTCACTTCCTTGCCTCTCTGGCCATGGACTCATCTCTCTAGTTGCTGTTTTGGACGCCAGTCAAAAAGACTCCCGTGAGCACCTACTGGGTACAGGCGTTAAGCTAGGCACGGTGGAGGACATAAGCCATCCGCTTACGATTTGGGGTCATTAGGGTCATTTGCACACAAGATGATTAGAGTTACTGGAGGGTAAATTTAAACAAATGAATGACTTGAGTTTCTTGCTGGCAAATGCCTGTTTCAGGGGGCACTGATTTTCCACGCAGGTAGCTAACAGTAGGGGCTGGAAATGGCCCCAGTCTGTAGTCCATGCGTCTCCTGGTCACAGTTTGGGGCTGCCGGTGAAATAGTACAAGCCCAGTTGTCGAGCGAGCGAAGCTACTAGGCTAACAAGGGCTTCCCAAACGAGCTGTGCAGCCCGCTGTTAGCGAGTGGAGCTTAAATTGAGGTGTCCACTGTTGCATTTTCCCGATTGTTCATGTCTCAACTTCTTTTATTTTTCAGAAGTTTGCACAACAACAGAGTATTTTTCCAGATTTTTCTAAACCGGGCACGCAACGAGCTTTCCTCCCAGTCGTCTCCCCAAATAAGCATTTGGAGCCAGCGACTCTTCACAAGACGGAACTGGTATGAGCAGGATTTCTTGCAGGTTGTTTTCTCTACAGTCGAAGAAAGCTCAGCGGTGTGCCCGGATGTCACGCTGGACAAAAGCGGAGTGAGCCCCACACCGAAGAGGGCGTCCTTCCCGTGAGGTCCTTCCGGAAACTGCAGGTCACAGCCCGCTCTTTGTGAGCAGGACTTTGGGAACCAGTACAGGACCACGAAGCATGGGGCCGCCTGCAGGGAAGCTCTCTGCTTCTTCACAGCTAACTTCTTAGCATTTTATTCAGCTATCTGGTCAACCCCCCCGGAGCTATTTTCAGTCCCACACAAGCTATGGCGAGACGCAGCTGGAAGAGGGTCTTGGGAAATACAGACGCCCAGAGCCGGCCCTGTGACAGACTCTTGAGGACCGTGGTCTTCTTCACATCTGGGAAACCTCTCTCTTTGAGTTTGCTGTGTTGTCTTGTGCTAGCCCAGATGTTTTATGTCTGGGAGAAGTTGACGGGCCAAATTGTGAGACAGCGGGGGATATTTAGCGAATCATGTCCCGGTGTGAAGGCCCTGCTATTCCTAAGGAGTATTGTGTGTACCTAGAAGTAACAAGTTGATGAGCTGTTCCCCACTGGAGCCTTTTCATCCAGAAAGACCCACATAAAGAAGCAGTAAAGAAGATGCCACATTTGTTTTGATACCCGTAGATTCCTGCCAAAGAAGGACTGGTTTTTTTCTCTCCTTTTGAAATCTGTGTCTACGGTTAGATATCAAGGCTCACAGCACAAGTAACCTCAGTATGGAGAGAACGAAGTCAGAGAGGATGACCCCAGGATCGCGAGCTATTTGATGCCCTGGCGAAAATGCCGGACAAATCGTGCCATCTGGGTTCCGACCCCAGGTCGGAACCACTGCCAAGCTGTATGATCTTGAGCAGGGTCTTTGTGATTTCTCTTTTCTCAGTTGTAAACCAGAAGGTGGTTGTATGAATTGATTGTGACAGTGTATGTGAAAATGCTTTGAAAAAGCATAAAGCACCATAAAAATTTGAAGCTCCGTTGGGTCACTATCCTTATTCTTACAGAGGTGTTCTGGGCATGAGAGCATGCTTTTCATTCATTCTCATGTCTACCATTATTCCAAACAAAGGAGGCCAGACATAAGACGTTTCCATAGTCTTCTAGGAGTTCTTTTGGGGAAGTGAGGAGACCAGGTCAGCGAAGCACCAAGCCAAAAGTACTCCAAGATATGGACACACAGGAATCACGGGGCCCTGGGGAGAAGAGAGTGCACAGGATGTTCCATTGACATTTTGACAGTTGTTGGGTAACTCTTCTCAAACTGGGCCCTTTCCCTGCTTGTTTTCTAAAGCGATTTTATCCCGTTGGTAGTGTGTGCATGGTCCACACTGATACTAGAGAGGGAAAGACAGGGCAAGATGCTTCAGTGTTCTTGCTTTTTTGTCATAGCCTTCATGCCATTAAGGGGCTGGATGCGAGCAGGGGTGTTTTTCTTTTTTATATTTAAAACTACTCATAGAACTTTGGGATAAGTGCTAGGATGTCTGTAAAGTAGTTTGAGAACCAGAACCCAAGGTGAAGTTCGAGAGGTGTTACATTGGCTGAGTCCTTCCTCTGAGAGGGAGAGCATTTATGGCAGGTAGACCTCTATGAAACAGCGCCCCCTTCTGCCCAAGGATGCCCCTGCATCTTGCCACTGGGTAGTGCATGATTAGCTTGGCCACATGTATGACTGCCGGTCACGGGGGTGGAGAAGGGGGTGGAAAGAGGGAGGGTTGTGACTTCAGAAGGATGTGTACAATCAGGGTCCCTGTACCTGGGATTCGTGGGGTTTCACTCAAGATTCTCAAATAGGTCCATTAGCCTCAAAATGAAGAACAATCCAGGACAAGTGGTTGTAATAGTTATAAAAGTATCATAGATCCTTTTTTTCATCATAGATGAATCCTCTTTGGAAAATGGCTCTTTATGAAGATGAATGCTTATAAAATTTCTGTAAAAGCTGTAGATTCCCCTTCAGTGGAATTAACTCCGTTCTCAAAGCTTTACCAGAAGTGCTGGGGAGACCATTGGCATGGCCATTAAGAGTTCAGAGTTCATACTCAGCCAGGTTTGAAGCCTAGATTCATCACTCAAGTTTTTGCCACTCTGGGCAGGAGACAGACCTCTCTAAGCCTCAGTTGGCAGATGTTTAGAATAAGAATAAGGACAGTTATCTGCCTGATAGGTTTGTTGTGAAGATTAAATGAGATAATATATCTAAAGGCTGAGCCTGATATCTGGCAAATAGTAAGCCGTTGAATAATCTTGGCAACACAGAAGGTGCCAGTGACCATGAATCTTGAACAGACAAAGTGGTTTTGTTAACAGGAAGGAATTGAATTGGTGGGGGAGTTATGTTGCTTTCAAAGGATTAATACCCAATGAAACCAAATTTTTCGTGGCCATTAAGGTTATAGTTCAGGAAAGACCAGGGAGGGGGCCGCCTTTCATTAGCTTGAACTGACAAGTTAAAAACATAATGCAGATTTGAAATCCAACTTGCATTTCGCACCTAGTCTTTGGCATGAGAAAAGGGGTGTGTGTGTGTGTGTGTGTGCGTGTGAAAAAGAGAGAGAAGGGTAAGGTGGGTAGGGCAGAATTCATCAAGGAGAGTGAACTGCCTTCGTTGAAGAAAGTAGATGATCATGAACCATATTTGTTCTTTTTCACCACTGCCGTGGAAAGCTTTATTCTCAGGGCCCTCCTTTGTCTATGGAGTTAGCTCCGCAGTTAAAGCAATTTCATCTTCAGGGGCTCCTGGGTGGCTTAATTGGTTAAGTGGCCGACTCTTGATTTCAGCTCAGGTCCTGATCTCAAGGTTGGTGAGTTTGAGCCCCCCGTTGGGCTCCGTGCTAACAGTGAGAAGCCTACTTGGGATTCTTTCTCTCCCTCTCTCTCTGCCCCTCCCCCAATTATGCTGTCTCTCTCTCTCTCTCTCCCTCCCTCCGTCTCTCTCTCTCTCTCTCA